TCTTCACCTTACTCCAAACTTCTACAGGAGAACCAAGGGCCAGAATGGCACCACTGCTCAAAAAGTACCAGATGCAAAGCGCAACTATTGAGTAAGTGTTTGGGCATATTATCTTGTTGCAAAGGCAATTAAAGTGTTTGCTTTCCTGCGGTGTCTAAGCAAAATTCTTGGAACTCAGTCAGAATTCCAGTGGCAAAACAAAGCCTTAAATATGTTGTTCAAAAAAAGTTTGAAAGGAAATTATAGTTCCCTCTTCTCAGATGAAGTAGTCCCCCAACCCCACCGTGCATACAGAAACATGGATGATAAAAACCAGATGAACACAGGAACTAAAGTGCTTGGTTTTGTGGATTTAAGAAATCCCACTGCACACATGGTACGGTTTCAGTTTCAATTCTGGCAGAACTGATCTTTCTAGAAGTCAATTGTCCATTAGCCCCATCAGGTCATCATGAGTTTAGAATTGTCAGATGTACACAGTGAATTAGAAATACTTTACATTATTAAGTAATTACTCGCTTAGATGTAATGGTGGAAATACTGCAGGGCTGAAGGACACAAGTGAAACGCTGTCTTCCAATTAACAGGCTGGCTCTTTGGTTAAAACAGAATATATAACCAATATAACCACATTGTTGAACTTCTCCTAGCCAGAATATTACTTGCCATCATTGATTCTTCCTGAAAGAATAGTCTCAAGGTCTGAAAAAATATTTCAAGATTTATCATAATATTTAAACTCTCAACTAAACCAAAAATACTTTAGCACACAGGAGGTCAAATCTTATTAACCCAGAAGCCAGACACATATTTAACTTGCTAGCTCATATCAATATAAATTTTTTTCTTTTCCCATCTCACAGCTACAGCTGCTTTGCAATGACTCTAAGAGACCAAAAAGGATGCAGATAACTCACACAGCTTTTATCACATTAGCCACAGTCTGCAGTTTTCATAATCATTAGCTTTGAAGTATATTAAACAAAGCAGAACATGACCTTACAGTTGATATTTCTATCACACCACATAAGAACAATTCTTTATCATACATACTTTATTAAGGCCACCAACCAAGATGCTGCTCAGAACTACTCAAAACACCACCAGGCAGCAAAGAAGGCTGCTGGTGCCCAGCCCAGTGAAGGCAGGCAGTGACCACATTATAAGGGTGTTCACTGATTTAAACGCGGAGTCACCGCACGTACCTGGGATTTTGGCTGGGTGGAGGGACCAACAAGAAGCAGAAAGGATGCATGTGCACCACACTAATAGGAAAAAACCTAAAGCTTTTAGTTTCAAAATAATGCAACGTAGCATAGGTTTAGTTATTAGCAAAATACACAGGTTATCTTATCTACATTTGTGTTTAGTGCAATAGGTCATTACTTTTTTAGAAATAGAATTTTGGGGGAGGGAAAATGAAAAAAGATGACATGACATTCTTTCAAAGTCAGGAAATTGAAGAGATTTCATACAGGCATTCATCCTACTGAATTCTCACAATACTGTGGTTGTTACAGACCTTCTCCAACATAACTCCCTTTACTAATGACTCTACTGAGCTATTTACACTATAAAAGAAATAAATATATATATTCCTAATGTGATTGATGCAGTTTACTTCCACCCCTGTCATTTTGTACTGCTTTAAATACCAAGTATAGAGGGAAAATTAAAAAAAAAAAGCCTAAAACTTTACCCTTGTTATTTAATTGTGGGATTTAATTTTTGTCTTGAAATGGATAGCTTCATTATCTCCAGAACAATTTCACAAAGAAATTTAAAGAAAATGTGTTGTTCCGTCAAGTCAGTCATTCAAGATTCAGTATCTCCTTTCCTCTTGCAGGAACACGTTACATTATTTCCACCCCAAGCTCCACTAACCTTTTGTCATTCAGTTCACAAGACTAACAGCAGTCAAAAGACACAAATTAAAGCCACAAAATTAAAAAATACTTCCAAATTTAAGTTAACTACTCTGGTATTTCATGTATTTGAGGAAAAACCCAAAGTTATCACTAGTCACAGCTGACATATAGACATCTTCCTCTACCATATGCCCATTATACTGACATGTAACCAGAGATACTGATTGTATTAGAGATATGCAAGTGTACACAAAACAAAGAAAACAGACATTTTTTAAATCCATGTTTATGCACCAACTTTTAATATTATTTTAAGCACACAATGAAGATGAGGACAGCCAAAAGACTGAGTACAGGACAGAGATACCATATATTAATTCATATTCAGCCGATGTTTTATGAAAACAGAATAACGTATTGTCTATAGAGATTGTCATAAATTAATTTAAAATGTATTCAGCCATGCCAAAAATGCGTCTTCATGGATGAGAAGCAACCAAAGAACAAATTTGAAATTTTGAGAAAAAAATATTAGATAGAATACTTGAAAAGGACTTCAAAGAGCTAAACAAAATAGATCTTGGTGTGAAGAGTCCTTCCAGCACTAACTCCTCTCCACTACTATGTTTTGTGATACATAAGATTATAAACTGAATTAAGCTATGTCATAAACATGACATTTACATCTACAGGATACATTTGAAATGCATTATTACAACGATACAGTGTTTACAGACACCTGCTCCTAGAAATCTGCCAGACTACATATGAACATATACACATTCATCCATACGAGAGGGACAGATGAGAGGAGGTAACAAGAGACCCAAATCTTAAGAACAGGCACAGAAACACACCACACCAGCACGCTCCCACAGGAAGAAAATCACTTAGCAGCTCAGACGTGGAATAATCCCAGGCCATTTTTGGAACCAACTTCAGCCAGCAGCAGGGTAGCTGAAGCATTCAGTAGGCCAACAGACACACTTGACATCGCGTGGTTTCAACAATGATTATGAAAGCAGAGGAGTGACAACTTCATGAAGACTTCCACATACATGAGTGCAAATCATTCAATGATAAAGGTAGATTGGAAGACAAAGTCAAAAAGCAATTAAAACCCTAAACTTTATCTCAAACTTGACTTAAGGCTGTGAATATATAGGATGGAACATCTTGTGAAAATAAATTTTGGAACTCATGACTGCATTTAATAGCAAACTTATCGCCACAAGCCTTCACCACATATTACCTCTTAAACTGCCCTGTGCAATTCTATGGACAATCCATACTTTAAAGCCAAGAAAACATTCCTCCTCCTTCCCTCACCTCCTTGACAATTATTCCTCATCATACTCAACCAAGCCACAACAATTCTGAAAAATACAAGGGATGTAAAAATGGGAAAGGGTGAATGATCAAAGAACTCGCTGCTTAACAACAACAATGAAAAAAAAGAATCTGGAAAAGTACAACAAAATTGATGGGGGGATAGCATATTCTATTTTCAGTGTTAGCACCAATAATACTGCAGCCTTGTAGCTTTCCATGGAAACATACTAATTTCACTGAAAGGGTAAAATACCATAGACATGCATTTGGCTCAATCTATCCTATCATATTTTGGTAAATGTCTCTCACCTAAGCAGAATAGCATCACTTTCTGTTAGAGTGAAGTACTGATCACATCAAAAATGATGAGACAAGAACTGAGGAATCAAAGCCAGCAGCCAATTAACAACACACAATTCATACATGCCACACAAGTTCTTTAATACCAAGATGTGTGGAGCATTTGTTACATGAGAGATCATACACAGATCTGACTAAAACAAAACAACGTGGTGTGGGGAGGAGAAAATTCAGTACACATAATAAAGTGCAACTACCCAGATGTGGTTTTTTTCTTTTTTTTTTTCTATTTTTTCCCCTACCCAGCGTTCTTGCTCACCTCCACGAAGGTGATGGGGACCGATAACACACCTAGATACATGCACACAATGTGTCTGTTCCCATAGACAAACATCAAAGTCTTCCCACTTCACCGTCATCTCACTGCTGCAAGAAGTTACACCCAGTGTTGGACAAGTTTAATACTTTAGCTGTTCATTCACATCATGTTCCCACTAGAATTATCCGTGTATCTTATGAACATTAGGCAATACTGATCAGTATTAAAAAAACCCCACAACCACCCTGATGCATCAGAAATGTGGATACAAATCCAAAACCAAGTTAACGCTTTAATAGCTGAGCTAGTTTTAAATATAATTTTAAACTTTAAATCTTAAAGAGATTGCCTCGACAAAAAATACACCAGTCTACCTAATTTTTTTAGCAGCCAGAAGACAGGACACTGTCTGCAGAAAGCTGAACAAACCATCGGAAGGAGCATGGCCACAGAGGAGAGAAGCCCCTCAGAAGAAGGCGCTCAGACACCCGGCTCCGGGCGAGGAAGCCACTAAAAAGCCGCGCAGACCCGCCCGACACCCCCTTCTTAGTCACGGACAGGATTTTAGGAACTACTGCTGCCACTCTTACCACAGTTTAACTTGAAAACTGAGCTTTCGTACGGAGACGCAGCCGCTGGCGAGCGGGGCTGAGGGGCGCCTCGGCTGCCGGAGCCGCTTCCTCCCCGCCGCTACCGGAGAGACGAAGGGCGACTAAACACCTGACGGGGTCTTGAGTTCTTTGTGGGTTTTTTTTTATTCCCTCATCTCTGAAGTTCTCGTAACGGCGGGGGAACCACCTCCGCTCCCCAAACGCCTCCCCTCAGGCGGGCGCAGCCGCCCCTCAGGCGGGCGCAGCCGCCCCTCAGGCGGGCGCAGCCTCCCCTCAGGCGGGCGCAGCCTCCCCTCAGGCGGGCGCAGCCGCCCCGCCGCCCTCCCTTCCCTCAGCCGCTAACGGAACGCCGTCCGCGGCGCCAGCCCAGAGCCGTGCTGCCACTCCGATCCCACCGGCGAGCCCCCTACACGGACAGGCGCTCCTCTACACAGCCGCCGCCCAGACACGCGTACCGAAACACGCCGCGGAAAGCTCCACTCAATTTAAGAAATAAACCGGAGCCGCCTCTCAGCATACACACACACCCACCCCCGGTGCCGCCAGCAGCGAACGGACGAGCGCACTCACCACCCCGCTGCTGCTGCTTCTGCTGCCGCCACCCACCAGCCGCTCCGCCGCGGGTGTGCGCCCGGCACCGCCAACGCCGGGGTAGTCTCACTGCCCCGCCCCGCCCCGCCGAGTCCCCGCCCTCCCCCGCCGGTCCCGCGGTCCCATTGGACACTCCCCGCGCCTGTCTCCGCCCCGCTGTTGCGTAGCATTGTGGGGCTCGTAGTCGTGGCTTGGAGGACTACAAACCCCAGGGGCCCGCGCGGCTGCCGGTTAGTTCCGGACAACGCCTGGTGTGTGGTAACCGCGGCAGACGCTTCCTCCTCGCGGGCGCTTCCGGCGGGGCGGCGAAGCCCACTCGAGAGCTCCGTGGGCCGGGGGGGAGGTGAGGTGCTGCACCGCGCCCCGCTGACGAAGCACTTTCCCTTCCCGGTGCGTGCCCGTGGAGGAGTGAGGGCGTTTGGGGCGGCCGGAGCGTGGAGAGGGGGGGAGGGTGGTGTCCGCTAGTCTGTTTGCGCAGGGCCTGACTCGCCCTTCTGGGCTGCGCCGCGCGAGGAGCGTAAAACTCTTCCCAGCATCGGGGCCTGGCGTGGGGAGGACAGGGCGGGCGGAGGAGCGGCGGCCGCAGGTGAGCGCGGCCTTGGGGCCTCGCCGTGTGGGGAAGGTGAAGGGTGTCCCGTCCCCTCCCTGACGAGGAAAAGGTCCGGCCCCGCTTCCTCCCTCCCCGAGGCGGAGGCCTGCCTTTCTCCCCGTCCTTCCCGCTGCCCTCCGTACCCTGGGGCCTTCCCCTGTTGGGGGTGAGGGGGAGCTGCCCGGCCTGAGGCCCCCTCGGCCTGGGCCGAGCTCTGGGGAGGAGTTGGGGGGGGGAACTGGGGAGTGTAGGCCCGGATGTGTTATTATTATTTTTAGCTCGTCCTGCCGTGGGAGCGGAGCGCTGTCAGGTGGCCGCGGTGAGCGGCAGCGGTGCCGCCTCAGGTGGGGGAGAGGACAGGGCTCCTTCCCGCAAACCTCGGCTCCCTGCCGGGCAGGGACGGCGGGTAGCCCGGGCTGTGCTCCCCCGGCTCACCGGAGAGTCTGGGAAGAGCTGCAGCGCTCAGGTGTCCCATTAAACTGCTCGCTTAGCTGGTGCGTGGGGTTGGTTCCCTTCCTTTAGCTTGCACATACCGGGGCAGAGGTAGACGGCTGAAACCTTGGGCCAGGTTTGTTCCTGTTATCAGAGGAACTAATTGCCCTCTGGTATTTGTTTACTTGTTGGAATGTATTTTGAAACTGTATCTTGCCTCTTAGCATTTGATAGAGTAATAGCTTTGCTTTCACATTCCCAAGGAGAAAAGAAGAAAGAGAAACAGGGCTATTTTGTTGTGATTATGTATGACAAGAACCATGAACTGCTTCAGTTATGCTGTATATTAATCTTAATGTTGCTGACTGGTGAAACTGGGGCACAGTCCAGGAGGCTTTAGTATCTTATGTGGTAGGCAGACACAGAGGCTGGGTGTATTAGGACAGGCTAAATCACTTCCATTTTGAAGTTCAGCATTGCAAAAGAATATGAACCAGTCATAAGCCTAAGTTTAGAGTCGGCTTGGATTTTAAGTTCCTACAATTCTAAAAATAGACATGTTGAGTTTATTGCAACTTGGTGTGATATCTGAATTAGTCATATGAATTGATCCTGAAATAATAAAACGTTTAAGCAGTTATGCTTTGTCAGACTGAACTCAGCTGTAAGTGGCTGTATCTGTGTGAAGATGTTTGAAAACTGCATATCTCTATTCTAGCAAGAGGCATTTAAAGATACTTTTGAAACTTCAGTGCTATTTTCTGGTGACGTTCTCTTTATTAACTCTTCAGTGAAACTGCTGGGTATAAGAGTTAATTGAATATGGAACCAATGCAGTAGAATACCTTTGTTAAGTTTCTTGTTATTTTTGCTGATTTTAAAATGCAGAGATAGTTGTTGTAGCAGTTGATCTGTATGCCAATTCCAATTAATTCAACCATACTGTCAGGAAGTCACCTCAGTTTTAAAAAGAAGCAAAGTAGCTCTGTTATGTGAAGCCTAAAGCCTTCAGGCTTTGTACATTATAGTCTAAGTTATACATTGGGAAATAATTACAATCTATAACTGAAATACAATGCTGGCAGGTAAGTTGCCATCTGACAAGAAAAATGAGTATGAGCTTTTTTAAAATTTCTTTTTAGTGACCATTAATAAGGGAAACTTAGTTACCAAGTTATGCGTGGGGTATGCATATAGTTAAAAGCATACTCTGCAAATTTTTTTCCTTCTGTAAAATTTGCAACTGTAATTAGTAAATTAGCTAAATTCCCTCCTCCCATGCACATTGGCCTTGCAAAAAACTTGGCTCCTATTTGTCTCTCAATTCAGGATGGAATTCCTGGTGCTGTTTCCCTTCCCCCTCTTTCTCTTTCTTAACTTAAATTAGTTTTTCTGGTAACTCAAGGGGCTCAGATCAGGTTAAAGGTAAAAACCTCTTCCTGAATCCTCACTGCAAGAAGTGGAGGAGAACTTCTTGGTAGTAAGGGTAGCCTTTTCTAGCAGGAATAGAGCTGTAATTTTTGCTAGAAGCCTATCCCTGGAATAATCACTACCTCAAGCCTTGTTCCTCTCTAGTACCTTTTTTTAAAAAAAAAAGTGTCAGTGTCTAGGTGCTTCAAGTTTTCCAGATTTAAGGTAGATGAAGCCTGCAGAAGAGAACAGAGACAACATCAGTGCATGGCTAGAGCTGCTGATAACTGAAGATTAAAATCCTGCCATTTCATACCTAATGTATCTGTTGTTTTAAAACTCTTTAAAAGTTGTAATCATGAGACTCCTCCTTAAACAGTGGTTCAAAAGCTAGTGTTAAACAAACACCTTTCTTCATGGAATCCTTGTTTGTTTTCACCCTGGCCAATAAGCAGGTGGGGCTTTGGGGAAGATTATGGCACTCTGTGATAGTTCTATTATTATTAAGTAGCTCTGCAGTTCTGCTTGATTTTAGTGCATCACCAAAAGTCTGTCAGTAAATGACACAGATTAGAGAAAGCAAATTATCACCTCAGATGCTGATAACAGTAGTACGTTTTTGGAAGTGTGGGTTTTTTTGCTATTTACCCTTTTTGGCTTACAGGAAGTTTATCTTAATGTAATTTTTTTCTGATAAAAGTTCAGTTGAATGATTTAAAATGTCATTGGATGGATATGAGGGAATGGGTCTATCAAAGAATCCTTCCAAACTTGTTCCTCATCTAAAATGTACCAGTTCTCTCAGTGTTTGCTGAATAGCTGGGATAATAGTTTAGTGCTAGAACTTAAAAGTTAGAATTTAAAATTTGCACTAACATTTAAAGTATATACTGCATGTTAGTACATCTCTTGTAGTACAGCTACATGTGTGTGATGCTTTAAGACTGAGCAGCAGGATTGTATTAGCTGGCATCTTGGTGTAGTTTTCAGCTTTAGATTCTCTTTAAATTCCCAGTGTTGTTCTGTACGTTCTATCTCATGGTTGTTTTCATCTGATGATACAGCATGATGCATGACTTCTAATTACACACATATAGATCTAAATCTGTGGGATCACTGTCAGAAAAAAGATCAGGCTTGCACATAAATTCGTATTTTTCAGTCTGTCTTTTCCAGACAGCATATCCTACTATTTTCTCCTCGTCTTGCCCCTCAGACCAATTAACGAGTTTGCCAGCTAAGTAACACCTTTTTTTACATCTTAACAGCAATTTGCCAGGATTTCCTGAGCCACACGACTATGTTGTTCTGTTCTAATAAATCACCCTCTCATGGAATCTATTCAATTTCTTTTTTAAACTCAAATAAAAGATTCTTTTGGGGTTGTGGTGAAGTTACATCTGAAGGATGTGAAGAAGTTGGTCCCTAGCTGCGAAGACAAATGGTGTGGCCATGTTCGCAGTGGGATACTTGCACAACAGCATGATGCTACCTAGTGTATCTTCTGGAAAGTGGGAAGATTTCTGGAATAATGAACAACCAGTGTGATATAGTGAATATATTTTTTTATGTTGGCAACAAAAGTATTTGATGTGGAAGATTTCTGGAATAATGAACAACCAGTGTGATATAGTGAAAATATTTTTTGTTGGCAACAAAAGTATTTGATGATCTTAAGTATTTCTTGTGTGCGTGTATATTTAAATCAACTTCTTGTCTTGCATCACAACACTTGTATCCTTTGTGTTAATACAAAACCTTGGATTTCTGTTTTGTTTGAAGAGTGTCAATGTCTGGTAAAGAGGTAATAGATGGCATATAATTGTTTTTATATGAAGGGCTTTACTGTACTGTGGATTAGTAACAATAGCTTATGGCTCTTCAGGAGAAAATGAGTTCTTCGTGGTAGTCCACACTGTAATAGGTTTTCACCATCATAAAAATCCATCATTTCAGTTAGTATTTCCTTTTCTTTGTGGATACTGCTAGCCCATAAAAACAAAGTAATTGTATTTAATGATTATTTTGTCCTTTTTTTGCCCTTCTTCCTATGATCACAAAATCTTTTGGGTAGACTAGAACAATGTTCAGTGACCTGATTTAACTGTTTTAAAAACTTATTCTGTTGAGAATACTATAATCTAGATAAAAACTTGAAGTAAATTAATCTGTGAATGCTGACTTGTTAGTGTAGGGTCTTGCATGAGTGTATGGATTTGCTGAACTTCCAGCAGCACAGAATTACCCAGTAAATCAAACCACTCTCCATCCACTCTGCCCCTATCATTCCAGAGTCTTTAGTGCAGGGAATACGCATGTATAATAAATGGGGCAGCTTGTACTTGCAGTTGTGAGTGAAAACTTGTTCAGGCAAGTTCCCTCCCCCCCACGTGAGTAGACTTTGCATGAATTTATGTAACTCTGAACCAAGTTCTTTAAAGATATTCAACTTTTTGAGGAATGATGAATATTCATTTGTATTCTTCTACATTCCTGACAGCTGTAAAGTATCTATGGGTAGGTGATAAAAATGTGAGAGACCTGATTTTTGCAATTCCATCCACGTAGAGATATCTCATCTATCACAGACCCCTTCTTAAAGTCTCCATAATCCTGTTCTGTGGCTATAGGAATCTGCTTATATATGTGATGTTGAAGGCTTGAAAAAAGAGGAAAAAAAGGATGAGATTTTGCAATAAGTTGTCCATGTGAGAAGACTTGCCTAAAGAGCTGTTACTTGTTACTATAGTCGTGTTTAATTTTTCTTCAAATCATGTTTTAACTGTTGGCTGGTTCTGTAGCGTGCAAGTTCTTCATTTGTTTTCTCATTTTTAGGTATATTCATCCTGCCTAATCACATGCTTGCATGAGACATGCATGATATTTGTAGTCATCCAAGTTTTTCTCTGTCCTTACTGTAATCAATAACAAATTTCAGCTGTATAATGATAGCTAAACTACTATATACCTGTCTTGGGCAAAAAAAAATAACAGCTCTTCTATTTAAACAGCCTGAAGTTTTTTAGCCAGTGCAGAGCATAATGAGGAATTTAACTTGAAAAAATATCTTTGCATTTTTTAATGTGTTCAAACTGTTAGGGTAGTGATATTGATTACTATAGTAGCTTCTGCTGTTTTTTAAAAATGTCACTTTTTTCACTTTATTTTACTAAAGTATCAGTAAAAGCAGTGTGCATGCATACAAATGCCTGAGGTCTGAAGCTGGTTAGGAGGAAAAAAACCTCTAATGCATTAAATGCTCCAAGCAAATGTAAAAATTAAAACTGTTAATCACTTTCTGCTTATCTTTATTCTTAACTTCGACTTTAGATCTTTAAACCCAACTATGTTAGATAAAATATTTTAAAAGAATCTTACGAACAGAAAATCTAGCAGGCTGTAACAAAGGCTTCTTACGAACCTTAGGGTGACCTTTTTTCTTTTCCACATCATTTCAAGGTCTGGGGAACTGATCACTCCATGTTGGAGATGATGAGCTGGACTGGGTGGAGAACTTTCAAAACTTAGGTTCAGTTACTGGAACAATAATTTTCCATTGAGTTAACGTTGCTGTTGACACACCCGGAGTCAAAACATGACTTAAGATTTCTGCTTATATAAAACCAAAGATGTAGTATTTGGAATTCAAATGGGTAGGAAGCAGGCACTGATCTCCAGCAGAAACACAATTTGATGTATATGCAAAAATATGGAGTATTTATGGGTGGTCTTAGTGTCAATTGTCAGAATGCATCCATTGGATTTGGGGGTTATGGCATGTAATGCTTCGCAAGCTTTTTATATATGTGAGTGGTTAGGAATCTTAAGCATCTGCTTAGGAGTGGTGGCAAGGTTCTTGTAATACATACCAAATAAAATAACTTCTTTCAGGAAAATTAATTCCATAAGAACTACTTTTGGTAGTACCTTACTCTTTAAAATACCTGTTCGCTTAATAGATTTCAATTAGGGTTTTAAAGTTACATGAAGTAGTCGTTCCATATTACTCAACTCCTAGTTTCTAGGCAGTAAAAAACTTACGTTTTTCTGACTCAACTCCTAGTTTCTAGGCAGTAAAAAAACTTATGTCATTCTATGCCTTTTCATTTTTAGAACCTCTCAGTCATGAGCATTCATAATTGTTTGTCTTTTTTTTTTTTTTTCCCCTTGCACAACCTAAGGACACTATATTTTCCAAGCTCTTCAAGTATTCTTGCACGACGAGGAAAAAGAAGAAACATTTCAGTGAATGAGGAGTTTTTTGCTTCTATAGTGTTTTCCTTGAGAAGTGGGTCTTTGAATGAGGATGACAATGGAAGAGATGAAGAATGAAGCAGAGACCACTTCTATGGTTTCCATGCCTCTCTATGCTGTCATGTACCCTGTTTTTAACGAGGTGAGCTACATTTTGCTTTAGAATGTAATAATCCCCTTTACTTTGGGAAATATGATCACGGTAACAAGTTGCTCATTTTGATGGGGAAAGCTTTGTGTCTAACACTGTTATCTTTCTATACATTGTTTTACCTTTCTTTCCACAAATACAATTTCATGTTTATCAAAGATTGCTGGTTGTTTCGGCCCTGATTTCTTTTCTTACCGTTAACAGAGGATTTTGACAAACTGTCATGTACCCTGTTTTTAACGAGGTGAGCTACATTTTGCTTTAGAATGTAATAATCCACTTTACTTTGGGAAATACGATCACAGTAACAAGTTGCTCATCTTGACGGGGAAAGCTTTGTGTCTAACACTATTATCTTTCTATACATTGTTTTACCTTTCTTTCCACAAATACAATTTCATGTTTATCAAAGATTGCTGGTTGTTTCGGCCCTGATTTCTTTTCTTACCGTTAACAGAGGATTTTGACAAACCTGTAGCTCCTGTGTTCTATGGCAGGAAGTTACGTACAGTTGAACGTGTACCCGTGAACAGCTTGATACATATTAATTTGACTGCTAATGGCCATAATTTAATAGGATATTTGTTTTTCTGCAAGTATCAGAGGTGGTCAAAATGTTCTCAGAAGCTTCTGTCAGACTTCTGTAGGCTGGATAAATGCGAAATACATCCAGGGACATGTTTGATTTTAACGTTTTTATTTTGGGCGGTGTGGCACACTGCCACAGGGGGAAGGCTTTCCTTTGGGATCAAACTTTATAGCATTTCTCCCTCAAATGAGATCAGTATTTTGAATGCTTCTGTCGGTTCCCTTTTTCACTGTGCTGTATGGGGCAAGGCATGAGTGCTTGGCTTGTTTTGTTCTGGTAACATTAGAAATGCTAATAATTCTGAACTTTTATTTCAGCTAGAAAGAGTAAACCTATCTGCAGCTCAGACACTGAGGGCAGCTTTTATTAAGGTGAGAAGTAACTTATACTGAATGATTGTTTAAAAGGTAAACCGTGTATAAAGAAGATAAAAAGTCAGCTGTCTTGTTTCCTTGCATCTTTGTGTTTGAATACTACATCCTTGATCTAATAGTCTAAAGATAAAAATAAACTGGACATAAAATGGACAATTACATGGACTGTAAGTTTGAGATGTCTGCAAATTTTATGCTTAGAAATCTGAATGATACAAGCACAGTGAGCAATTGTAAACAAAGAGAATCTTGTCCACGTGGTACAAAAGTTTAAATGAGGAATTGGTCAGTGAAGGTAAGAAGGTAATAAACTTAGTCTAAATATGACAAGATTATGTAGAATAGGTGCTCATGAGAAATAGGCATGTAGCAGACTTTGAAAATGGCTTATAAAGTGAACGGTAATGGGATTTTTTTATAAATTTATACTTTTATAAAGTGAATGGGTAATGGTTTTGTGGATGAGGATAATTCAGTGCTTATATTTGCATCCATCAGTAAATGGAAAAAAGATTCTTCAAACTTTTCTATTATGTTCCTAAAGAATGAAAATAAAGGTATTTCTTTATACTGCTTTATTGAAGTGCTGATCTTTTGAAATTTTTAAAACAAAAATAATTGTAGACATGATGTATCTTAACATGTGACCTGTGCAACTAAGTAATACTTCCCTGTTTCTACACTTAAACCTAAGCGTACCTAGATGCTCTTAAGTCTCAACTAGAGCTCATAAAAGCTAAATGTTCTACGACTGGTGGTAAGGAGCTAAGCTGAATGCAAATCATGTAAAAACTGAGATACTGATGGCAAAGGTAGTGCTAGCTAAAAAAAAATACACCCTCACTCTTATTCAACACAGCATAATTCTTTGATATCTGCACAGGTAGTGTGAATACCTCCAATCTTAGTCCAGTTTAGCTTTGCTAAGTTGTTTGTTGTTGTTGTTTTTTTCCAAAAAAGTGGTTCTAAGATGCTGTTTGAGCATATGATGTGATTCATAACAGGCATATTTACAAAATGTCATGTGGAAGGCGGGGGAGTAGCACCTGTGTTGGAGTGAATTAAGTCCCAGTGCATGCAATAGCTTTGTCTCAAAGCTTAGTGTTTATGGAAATATAACAGAATATAGAATTTAATGAAAAACTTTCTCAAATTGAAATGAGTGGAAAGGCTTATGGAAAAAGTTGTTTATACAAAACCACTGATGTAATGCGTGAAAAATGGATGTTGTAGCAGAAGAATGGTTTTCAATGTAATCTAGTTTAAAGCCGTTAGACCTTTACAGTTTCTAACAAAGTCCTGCAGTTTATGAAGGAAGTTATGTGAAAATCTGCTTTTGTACTTGCAGTATTCAGGTCTTGCATATTTAAGAATAAAATTTTTCTATACCATACAGGCTGAAAAAGAAAATCCAGGTCTTACACAGGACATCATTATGAAAATTTTGGAGAAAAAAAGTGTGGATGTGAACTTCACGGAGTCTCTTCTGCGTATGGCAGCTGATGATGTAGAAGGTAATATCTTATCTCTTATGTTGAATGAGTGTACGAGTGTAACTAGGAACACGCATTTCTCTATGCCTATTTTCAGAAGAGGTTATTTTTTTCTTAATAAATGGTAAAAGAATATTTGTATTTTCTGAATACGTCTTTGGGAGAAGTTAAATCTCCCTAAAAAACATACTTGACTACTAAGAGAAAGATGAAGATGAGTGTTTAGCACAATGTTTATGTGGGTGCAGAGTTCACCTTTTGCAATGCTAACAAACCAGGAAAAAAAAGCATATGTGGAGTATAATATCCACCTTCCTTTTCTCTGCTTCAAATTAAAAGCAGTAGTTATGCTGTCAGAGAAAGGGAGTATACAGTAGGCTTTAAGTTATTTTAATAATTAATTTGATTAGTGAGACACTGAAGACACTACACTAATAAAGTAAAATGGGCTCTTTTTCCAACTTGCAATAATAAAGGTTATTGTTACTCTGTGTTTCTATTGATGCAGAGTGTATTCACTGCAGTTTTCTGGTCATGGCTATTTTTGTGCTGTTCACCTTCAAATGTAACATGCTGCATTTTGTGTAGTGCTTTTAGTTGTCACTAGAGGCTTGAGGAAAAACTAATGGTAATTTTGAATGTTGTTCTTGTTAGAGTATATGATTGAAAGACCAGAACCAGAATTCCAAGATCTTAATGAAAAGGCACGAGCACTTAAACAAATTCTTAGTAAGATTCCTGATGAGATCAATGACAGAGTGAGGTTTCTTCAGACAATCAAGTAAGTCCTGTATTATGTATTTTTCTGCAGAATGAGGGGTCAAACTTTGTATTTAAACCTGAATGTTCAAATGCTGTAGGAGATGCTAGAAACACTGTTCCCATTGGAAAGGAGCCTGATCCTCACTTATAAATGAGCAGAGTTAAGTATTTTTAACAAGAGCCTCATGTTACTAGACCAAACCTAAGTTCTGATTCCTAGTTTGAATTCCCATGCCACTGGTCTAGCTCTTTGCATTTGGTCTTGCTCCATCCTGTCTGACACTTTGTAGAGACTGTTTTAAGAAGTATTTGACTACCAGAAGGGGAATAAATTCCAACTTTAAATAGGGTAATTTAAGGATATTACAACTGTCTTTTTATTACCAAACAGGGACATCGCGAGTGCAATAAAGGAACTTCTTGACACAGTAAATAATGTCTTCAAGAAATACCAATACCAGAACAGGCGGGTATGTGCAATAACTCTTTCTCTACAATGTTTTTAATAGTATAAGAGGAAGCATGTTCTTTTGATGAAAGGATGGATAGAGCTTAACTGGTCAATGACATAATACTTTAATAAGGGGATTGTTGTGTGGTGGGTCTCAGCAGTTTTATAGGAAGAGGGCAGTTTCTCTGCATGTCTGCTAAAAAAAATAATGAAAAATCCTGTACATACATAATGGTAGCCAGTCTTCTCTAACACCAAGATCCTGACTGTCCCCAGCAATATGTGTACTGACTCTACTCCTGCTGGTTTTGTTTTTTAGGCGCTTGAGCATCAAAAGAAAGAGTTTGTAAAATACTCCAAAAGTTTCAGTGATACTCTGAAAACCTATTTTAAAGATGGAAAGTAAGTATGTTTTTGTCCTAACATTTTATGTAATGAAGTCATCCCTTGTTGACTAACAAGGGAAAATAAGACAAGCTTTTGGGCATCAGCTATCTTCTTCAGGACTTCCTATTTTTTTTTTTTCTTACCAGTGTCCTCATACCAGCATAGGTTCTTCAAAATATTTTTGTTCCTTTTGTAATGCCTTTGAGGAAAGGGAAGTCTGTTCAATGTACCACCATACAACACCCATGTGCATTATTGGCTTCGAATTTGCGTATGTGAAGTTAAATTTCATAGTCTCCTGTGGTTTTTTTTCAGTGTATGTATAAGGAAAAAAAATATGAATCCTTTATTGAAAAAAGTAATCTACCTATTTGAAATATCTCTTGCAAACACTAAATACCTGTGCAGTCTTTTCTTTGATTTACACTTTCGTTGTCCTTTCTTTATAGCTTCTTATAGTGCTTTGCAATATTTAGAACTACTCAACTGATTAATCTTTTTATATTTGAACATTTTAGCCTTCAAACTGAGGGGTTTTTTCTGGTCTTCACCTTGGGTTTTGAAGTCACTATTCTTGTGTACTTCACTAGAGTGACTGTTTTGGATGATAAGTGTATCTCCCTCGGATTTTGACAGTGCCAAAAGTGTTCTACTCTTTTAAAGACGAGAACTAATTTCCATGTCTGGTCTTGTTGAGCTGGGCAGAGACTAAGAGCACCCAGGGGATGGTGTGTTATTAAAGGAAGAGAGGAGGTTTGAGACCAGCTGTGAATACTATGTTACTCCTATTAAAGCATTCTTTTTTTTTTTCTTGCTCTTACTGAAAGTGGGGCTAAATTTGATTATGATACCAAAATGAGAAATGTAGACCTTGGTAGCTTTATGATAAATGAACAGACGTGCAGAAAACTTTTCACATGAACAAGGTCTGAACAGTCTCAGTTGAGTGCAAAAATGAGGAAAAGGGAGACCAGCTTTGTTTAGCCCTATTTGAAGTGAATGCTGTGCTGTGTATTGTGGGTGTGAGCTTAACGTGTGTTAGGGATTATCAATATTGCAAGAAATCCCAGGTAAGGCTTTTATGTCATATATGTGTGGAATTGGAAGTAATTTAAATCTCTCTGAACAGCATGGTGAATAAGATACCCTGCTCCTACCTGAAAGTAGCAGCACTAAACAGGGTAGTCATGCTCACAGATGTCATTACTGAGCTGAAAAACTCAGTGACTCCACACCCCTTCCTTAACAAAAGGATAACTAAAATAGTATGTCACTTCTATATGCATGCCTGCTTAGTCTTTCTTGAGGAGAGAGAGTTGCAAATTCTGAAATTGCTAATGGTGAGGTGTTCAGCTTGAAGAGGCATTTAATGGTCATCGTGCTCCACTCTTTTTTTTTCTTAGCTAAAAGTCCAGAACTAAATGATTGAGATAGCCATGATGATTGAGAGCCAAAGTCTTTTAAGTTCCTGCCAATAAAAATAGACTTTCTAGGATTAGCTATGCAAATAAGTCTATCTGTTTGCCAGTGGTAAGCTTCAGGTAAATCACAATATGGTAAAACATCAATATGTTTCCAATTTGCAGAGCCCAGATGCCAATATGTTTAGTTGCCCAACCTTAATGCTGTGTTTATTGAATGACGTGTTTCTAAAAATGTCTGAAACGATATCTTTCTCTTTTAACAGGGCAATAAATGTGTTCATAAGTGCCAACCGACTAATTCATCAAACCAACTTGATACTCCAGACCTTCAAAACTGTGGCCTGAAAACTGTATATGTTGAGAGTTGTACTTTTCAATGGTGGATAGGGTACCTTTATATGTAAATTTTAAAGTTTTGACTGTATAAATTATCAGCCCCTCTTGAGGGCCTAATGCAGGATTTTGAATGGGATTATTGCCATCTTACACCATATTTTTGTAAAACATTGTAGCTTAATCATAATCTCACAATGAAGATTTTGCATCACTTTTTGCTATTATCATTCTTTTCAGAATTATAAGCCAAAAGAATTTACGCCTTAATGTGTCATTATGTAACATTCCTTATAAGAATTGTAAATATTTGGTGTTCTGTTTCTGACATTTTAACTTGAAAGCGGAAAACTGCAAGATTATGTATTTAACAATATTGGTGGCAAATATTCAATAAATAGTTTACATCTGTTAGACTGTCTTTTTGTATGTAAACAACAATGCATAACTCATCTTTCTAGAACTGCAGAACATTCATTAAATTAAAAAAAATTAAAATTATTTGGGTGCTTCAAGCTACTAGCAGTCCAAATCAGTATAAAATGAGGGGTTTTCCTTAAAGCTGAGATTTTTGGCTGTGATCTAATACTAGACCAGAATACTAGTATGATTCTATTTAAATGTCTTTGGCAAAATAATAAAGAACCCCAGAAGTGAGGTGTGCTTTTGTTTTTTGACAGAAACTAAATCCCACTTCTTTCTTAATCTTCTTTTGGTGGTGAGTTAACAGGTTTTTACTCCTAGACTCCTCTGAGATTTTGAGCAGAGAATTAACTTTAACTATATGCAGCTGACTATGCAGCTATGGGTGAGTTAAAAATATTCAGATAGTTGGGTTTTATACTGGTACCCTTTTGGGAGGGAGGAGGAGAGAAGGTAGAACTCTTCCAGGTAGCACTAGTGATGTCTATACTATGCATGCCAATAAGGCAACTATTTTTTTCAGGGATTGAAATCATACGAGAACCTCGATTGACAAAACTTGTGTATGTAGATGGTTAAGAACTGCTAACGGACAGGTTGAAACTTTATCATTGTGATGTCAAGGTAATATTTCACAAGTTTTACTGAATATCTTGCATACCCCTTTGAAGTGCACCTTGAGTTTATTTTGAAATAGGATTGTTATAGAATAAACTTCTGAAAGTCTTCAAAATGTTTCTATGGCCATAACTAGTAAGTCTAGGGAAGGATGTGAAGCAGTTTATAAAGCTGCACAAGCTGTTGCAGGAGGAGCACTTCAGGCTGAAGAGCACAATTCTTACAGAACTATTGTTTTAGGTAAAATGATGGAAAAAAAGGTACAACCAGACTTTTCTTGCACACTGACCTGGTGCCGTATCGCTTATCCGGGGCAAGTGCCTTATCCAGAGAACAACAGCTGGGTCTGAGTTTGGGTTTCTGTTGAAATAAAAATCTAAAAGGAGAAAACAGTATCTGCAACCCTCCAAAACAGCACTGGATGTTCTGCTGTGTATCTGTGCATGGAAATTGTTTCCTTGATGAAAGCACTGACTGTAGTGAAATACAACAATGTGAAGGAGAGTATTATGTAAAAATGAGTTCTTGGGAATGTACATTGTGAATTTCTTGGTTACATAAAGCTATAAACAGGACGTGGTCCTTAAAGCTCGCTGTTCAGGCTGTTTTCTGTTTTGACAGTGGTGTTTTGTGTTTACTAGCAAATTGAGCTGAGTGACATGACAAAGGGATGCACATACAAATAATAGTTAAAACTTTTTGTTATTTATTACAGTGTGGCATGCTAAACTGTCACTTCTTGGAAAGTGGTAGAAGAGAAGCAGCGTTAGCAGCTACTAAGGAGCCTCTGACTAAATTAGAGTAATATCTAATTTGCATCTTTGAATTCTGTACGTGAAAAGGCTGAGTAGTCTTCCTTGTGGATGATGTTAGCTTAAGTTGTAGCACCCAAGCGCTTGATGAAAACTAATTAGTTGGGTAGAAGAAAGGGAAAAGGCACCCAGAGTTTCTGATACTTCATTTGTTTTGAAAAGAGTATTTGGTATTCGGGAGACTACACCAGTGGCTGTAAGGAGAGACAGTAAGGTTGGGTTATACAATAAAATTCTGGGATTTTCCTATTTTCTTGTGTTGAGCTGTAAGGAGAGACAGTAAGGTTGGGTTATGCAATAAAATTCTGAAATTTTCCTATTTTCTTGTGTTGAGGAGCAGTAGCTAGTGTGGGCAATCATTAGTGGAATGATACCGTGTTTATACCTGCAGGTGTAGTAAGAAATAAAAGAAGTATGACTTGGGTTCCAAACAAGATGCTGTGTTATGTCCTGCTGATTGATTCCTTGAAGTTAAAAATCAAAGAGGCTGTCAAGAAATGGACTGTTCCTGTTCCTCAGTTCTTCCTAAAACCTTAATTGGGTAAAAGGTACCAAGCACAGGGCTAAGTTTCTGGTAGTCTGGCCAATATGTTTTCTTTTCTTTATAACCTTATTGTGATTTCATTTTGTTACCCTTAAAAGTAATGGAAAATTATTCATTGTAATCAATGTCTGGTAATGGAAAAACTTGAAAACTGATGTCTTCAGGTCGCACTGTTCTATTGTGTGCAGTGAATCCATATCTAGTGATCTTACAAACTTTATTTTCCACTGAGTATGAGCTGGATCATGTGTCTGTCAAATTTTATTGTGGTTTTGCACTTTATTCAAGTTACCTGAGTAGCTAAAGATAAGTTTCTCTTGAGGATTTCTAAAACGGCAGTTAGTGTTGCAAAATGCTATTAGAAGATTTCTGCTGTGAATGTGGGTTATAATTGATATGATAATGTTAACATACAGAAGACCATTCTAATAAATAAAATAAAACTTTGTATATTTGTTAATGAAGCAAAGAAATGTCTTAATCACTTGTTTTTATCTTCCTCAGCCTATAAAGAAGTTAAGAAAAGCTTAGGTTGACTTATTTCTGGTTAGGACCTTCTTGTTCTAATACCGATAAAAAGTTGTGTTTAAAAGTGTGTAAGATGTGCCCAGCTTGATAGAAGCTTTAGCTTGAGTTGACATAAAGTGGTAAGTATGAAATTTCACAGTGTTCTGGTGTCAGAGCTTCAATTTATCCAGACAGGAAGATGAAGTAATAGCAGTTTTGATTAAGCATTATCTTTTCACATTATTTTCTTTAGATTACAACTGAAGTGTTCCTTCTTAATGTTCTTTTTGGATCCTTGTATGTCAAGGGGAGACATGCCTTGTTCATTCTGCAGATGTTACCCCATCTCTGTATCTTACAAGAGATTGTGGTTGCTTCTCTCGGTTGGGTGGGGAATGAAAAGAAGCTTATCTAGACAATCTCGCCACAAATCTAAGTTTTAGATTATTCCATTATGAAAGGGAGACAAATATAACTTACTGTGTGCAATACTAATAACTGGATTTGGCAGAATGGTGATTATGACTTACCTTTGGAGTAGGCACGGGCTGTTCTGCTTGAGAATATTGCTTTGCTGTGCTCAGTCTGGCTCATCTTCCTGCAGGACTAACCAGTGCCTTCTGGAAAAGGTACTTGCAGAGAGTTTCTGCTCGTGAGGCGTGGGGACTCTTCCACCTTTGCATAATGATTCACTGCATTTGTTCACTTTGTTGTTTTTCACTCCGCTGTTTCAGTTTTCCTCATGCTCTTCTGGGCAGATGTTGCTTTCAAAAGAGAGGAGTAGGAAATGTCCTTCAGGCACAGAACCACTTCCTAGTGCTAAAAAATAGGACTGAAAAGATGCTGCTCGATCATCATGCTTCCTGTTGAGGAAGTTAAAAAGTACCATATAATGTTGGTCATAAATATGTCAAGTTCTATTTTAAAGCAAATTTCGTTGTCCTCATTCCTCTTGTTAGATGTCACTTCAGAAGTCTGAAAGGAAAAAAAACCACACCTTCAAATACCAAAGTTTAATACGCTGCATAAATTTAATTTATGATGAAGAATTCGCTAACCTTGTCCGCAATCAGTTGTTCTTTTTCCCTCCACTTAATTTTGGGATGAATTGTATGCCATCTTGGGCTTTGCTGCTTAAAGAAAAGCAATCCCAAGTTTTTTAGTCCTCTCTCAAAAGAGAGGAGGTGTTAGGCAATGCTAAGTTTGCACCTTCGAGGCTGAGACAGAACAATTTGTCCTCATGCTTGTAACACAAGCTTGAATTTTGCAACAAAATTAATTGGAGTTGGTGCCTCCAGGGTGGAGGAGGAGGGTTTGGCTCATCTAGAGATTGCTGTGGAGGTGATGTCCCTGCTTAGCTCCTCTGTACCTCCCTCCTGCCTCACAGCTTGGTTACGGTTTTGTGACAGAGTGCTTGATTTCTGAGATGATGCAAAGTGCTTCTGACTAGGTACCATGCATAGCAATTCCTTGCTGGGTGGTGTAAGCATCTTCTCTGTAACTTCTTATTTTGCACCTTGTCCTCCTTCATCCCCCAGAGATGGCAGTTCAGGAACCAAAATGTGTGTGCTCGGGGTCTGTAGGCAGCACTTCATCACGCCAAGGACTCGTGTACCATGGGGGAGAAGAGCTCTTTGCTCAGGATCTGCACCAGGATTGATTCCTAGGTGGTCAGGTGGGGTTCCCTTCTCTATTTCAGCACACGTTGCATGTTTTATTCACACCTATTTGTGCAAGATCTGTGCGAGGACCTCACTGTTTTTAACACCCCTTGTAAGGATGAGTGCAGCTCGGCAACATCTGAGGTGCAAGGATTGTCCGTGCCTGCAAAGCACACACAGAAAGCTGGGGCTGTGATAACGGCACCCGGCCACTATCAGAGTATGCAATTGTAGGAGAAAGGGTTTAATCTCTTCCCCTTTTCTGCCACCTCTCAGTGCTGCTTATCACAGGTCAGACTGTGTTAAGACCAGTAAGACTTAACCTGGCAGCACAGGCAGTGACAATTTACAATTTTAGGAGTCATTCCAGAAAATGTACGTCTTTGGGTAAAGATTAGTTTGGTCAGAAAATTCCAGTTGAAATTTTGACTTTGGTTAGCCTTTCCTATTGGTATTCCTTTGGAATTTGTTTTTTGCTATTAAAGGTATGTAGCTGCTTCCTTTTTTTTTTTTATTTTCTAAGCAGTAACCAAAGGCAGCCGTGGAGGGAAGTTGGGTTGATTTTGTAGGTGCTGTGAGGGACTGGGAGACTTGTGAGCACTGAGAGGAAAGGAAGCAAAAGACTGAGCCATGTGAGTGTTTGACTCTTCTCACCCTAGAGACAAGTGTGTTCTACTTATTATATTCAAGAAGGAAATGAGTTTCTTAGTGATGTAATTCCATTATTGGTGCCAAGGTAAGCAAGATCGATTTTGCAGTTGCTGATTCCTAATGCACACTCAGACACGCTGTGTAAATGTTTATGAATTTGCATTTGGTAGCACAGTCAAAGGGATCATTGTACCTGATGGGTATAATGATTTTAGAGAATGTTTTGTAGTATTTCACGAAGCTGGAAATTTTAAAACCCTATATCTAAATTAGACATGTCTTTGACATTTTATTATTTCATAATTGCGGCTTCTAGACTTTTCACAGTAGGTAATTGCTTTTTTCCCCAAAGCTGTGTTAGTCTCCAAGGACAAGTGATGGGTGAAATAGAAGCCTGAGTGCCTGAAGTTTTAAAATAAAGAGAATAGAGTATGAGCTACA